CGCCGCCGTCCCCGCCGCCCTCCTCCTCCGGCCCCCCCTCGCCCCAACCTCTCCGTCTCCGCAACCGCCGACGCCGAAGCAGACGATCTATCTCGGGCACGCGAAACACCTGCTTACCTCTGGCGCAAAGATGAAAAATGGCACCCCGTCTCCTACGACGGCTCCACCGCCGCCGCCGCCGCGGCTGCCGCTTCTACACCCCACCCGCGCCGCCACCGCCGGCGAAACCCCAAGAAAAAACCATCCAATAACCCCAACCCCTCTTCCCGAATGTTCTCCAGCGACGACGATGATGGAGAGGAGGAAGACGAGGAAGACGAGATGCTAGTTTCCTCGACGGAAGATAACTCCTTTGAGATGACGGAGCTGAGATTAAGGAGGGCGGCGATGATGGAAGGAGCGAAGTCGATGGAAAGCAGGACGACTTCGCCGGGGAGGAGATTGTCGCCGTGTTTGGGAGGGGAAGGGGAGAGCTTGGCGGTGGTGAAGCAGTCGGAGGATCCGAGATCTGATTTCAGGAGATCGATGGCTGAGATGGTGGTGGAGAAGGGGATTTATGAAGCCAAGGAATTGGAGCAACTTCTTCATTGCTTTCTGTCCTTGAACTCGCAGCATCATCATCAGGCTATTATAGATGCGTTTACGGATGTGTGGGTGGCGCTATTTCCCGCGACGCCGTTTACTAGGAGTCCGGGACCGGGGAACGGTTCGCTTTGGCAGAGTGGGAATGAAGGGGAGTGAGAGGTGGGGGGTGGGGGAGGAAGATGATGGAAAGGTTTGTTTTTTATTATTATTTGGATTTGATTTTGATTAATAATTGTGTTGGAGTTTGGAGAGGAGATGTGAGGATTTCAAGAGTGCAAGATTCAGTACAATTTGTTTGTTTGATTTGTTATGGTTTTATGTTCTTAGTTCATGGTTATTGACTGTTAACTAATGTATAAAATCTGTTTTTTTTTTTTTAATTATCTATCATTTTTTACATTAAAATATAAATTTATAAAGTTTTTTTTTTTTTAGATATTAAATTTAAGAAAAAAATGATTTTTATTAAAATTTAATGGTTATGACTGTGAAATTTAGGTTATTGCTAGATGGTGTAAGTGTGATGATCAGTATAAATGTGGGGAGTGAAGTGAGGGAAATAAGAAGATGAGAAGTTGATGAATTAAAAACTCTCAGCTTGTAGAAGTTGATGAATTATACTTAATCTCACATCCCTAAAAGATTCAACATGTGAATTTTGATGTTGGGGAAGATAATTTGAAAATTAAATGCAAGAGGGCTAGTTTTGTAAATAGCAATATTTTCAGTGTTTTTTATATTTACATAAAACAAGAGTAATATAATAATATTATCATTATTTTCTAAAAGCGGATATTCTGTTCTTCAAAAAACAACTGAGCCCTGGAGACTATCTGCTTTGAACTCACCAACTCGCTGACTTCAATAAGAGCTCAAAAAATTTATCAAATTGTATTTTAGTGCTTTTATTAATCTCATTTAAACTAACCCAATGCTAATCTAACCCCACCAGTATTTGATTACTTAACAGCATACTTAAGCATAAAATTAAGGGCTGTTTAGCATAATTTTTTATTAATTTAATTCACTTAAGGGCTGTTTAGCATAATTTTTTATTAATTTAATTAACTTTTATTTAGTTAATATTTTTTTATTATTTAAAAAATTTTATAATAATCATAATAATTTAAAGAAATTTAATAATCATAATTATTAAAAAAAGATCTTAATTAACAACTAACAAATATATAGCTCCTGTAATTTGGATATGCACCTTATCTTTTAATATTATATATATATAATGAAATGATCGTTAGTGTCAACAGCTTTACCTACCAAATCTCATCATGCCTAATGGCCCGCCATTATTCAGCTTATGTATCAGCAACATGCATTAAGAATTTATTGAAAGGGTCACACGGTAAGAATAATAATAAAAGAAAGATTTACATGCATACCATTCAATTCTTATGTATTTGCATATATAACACCTAAACTTCAACTTTTACATATATGCCACCTTAAAAGTTAAAAAAACACCTTTTTTTATGTGAAATGAAAGAATTGGGTGGTATAAATGTAAAAAATAAAATTCAGGTGTTGGATATGTAAATTCATAGGAATTGGGTGGTATGTGTATATGTAAATGCCCCTTAATAAAAAATAACTAAAACCTGAATGCATAATAGGACAAAAACAGTATGTAAAATGGTCGCCATTCTTGCCATTTGGAGACTAAAAGCTTTGAGATGCCGGAAGCATTTCCCCTTCATGATTAGCTGTTAATTTGCATTAATTATGCATTATAATATCTAATTTAAGAGCATATTGTGTTGATTTCTCTGTCTTTTGTGTTAACGTATTATGGAAAGTGAGCCAGTTGTGACAAACAGATGATATTTTCAGCTGAAGATGGAACTAGTTTTAATTTTTAAAATAAAATAGGAGGGCATCGTACAAATCATTATTCGGACCAACGAAGAGCCGGATGGAACCCGGCCCGCCTTCCTATACAAGCCAGGAGGTCAATCGGCTAATTGTAGGTTTGTTTTGCATTTTAGATCGCTGTCAAATTCCGTTTAGGGAATTGTTTTTCAAAAATTTTTATGGTGGGAAATTGATTTTTTCAACCTTATATATAATATGTTAAAGTACATTGCTTATAAGAAAGTTGCGAGCCTTTTTTTAAATATATATATATATATATATATATATATATATAATTCTCAAAGCAAACTTCTAAAGCTTCATTTGAGACCACTTCACACTTCAAAAAAGTTGTTATACAGGACTTTAGAGCAGAAACAAAAAAAATGAAAAAAAAAAAAGTTAGAAAATGATATATTTTAATGGCCCTACTTAAAAAAAATTTTGAAAAAAAATCAAAATACATTATGACCGCTTGAGGCGTCCGTATGCAATAATTTTTTAAAAAGTTGGTATCATTTATAAGCTAAAAGGCAAGAAAATCCCATAAAAAATCATCACTGATACAAACAGAAAAAGCATCACAAACAAGCACGAAATGGGTTAAGGGAAGGTACAATAGTCGATCGAGATCGAGTATCCCGCCAAAAAAATCTCGAAGAATATCCGGCTAGCATCCCATTGATCATGCCGTCGGCTATGACATGGGTAGGAGCAGAATGCGGGAGCTCTTCTTCGCTGACGTGAAGCTGGGTAATGGAAGGTCTTCAACGGTTATTTTGAAGAGTATCTAACAACAATTCTGTACTAAACAGATGCATCGCATTCGTCGGGGTTCTCTGGATCAGAATGGGACTCTACAGTGCTCTCAAACGAGGCCTACCACCCAAAACGGATCATAAATGTATAGAAATGATATATATCTAAATATGTCATTTTTTTAGGACTTACCCTCAATAAATAGAAGATATTAAATGTATATCAGGATTTTTAACGCTCTTCACGTAAATTCTTTTTCATAAGAAGATTTACAATTGTACCACTCAATTCTCATGTATTTACATATCCAACACTTGAAATTAAATTTTTACATATACGTCATCTTATCACTGTATGAAAATGTGTATTTCATTTTTTCAAAATTAAAATAGTGATATCTTTGACGTGATATGAAATTTTTTGTCGCGTAAATATAAAAAATGAAGTTTTAAGTGCTAGAAATGTAAATACATAGAAAATGGGTGGTATATGTCTGTAAATGCCATTTTTATTGAATCTGTGAAAGTGCAAACATAACTTGAGTCCAGAAATCTTATTCAATTTATTTTTTTTATTTATTAAAATTTAGGAATGGTGATGGTTTAAACAGTTTATATTGTAACAAAAATAAATATATTCTTAATTTTAAGCATAATTTATGATAATTCACTAAATATTACTTCTATTGCATACTGAAATATTCCTAATATTATATCAAAGTTCCTCTCAAAAATGAATAATTTGAAAAACTAAACAAAAATAAAAAATATGAAAAGTCTAACCTAATTAAGATATTATCATCTAAATAATATAATGATCATTCATTCCTTGCTATAGGATGGGAGACTTCGCTAATTCTCCTTACTATCTTCAAAGTTTCAATGGTACTTTGCTAAGCTTGAAACCTTCGTAGCTCCATCCTTTGCAAGAAATAGTTTAGCTATGTTATAGTCTTTTGACTATTTACATACGGTCTATAAAATTATCAAATTAGTCCTCAAATTCTTTAAATTATTCTTTTAAGACTCTCGCATGGGGACTGCTTCAGCCCCAATTAGAGCTTGGGGCTTAATTTGACATTTTTTATATTAGGGACTAAAATGGCTTCATATAAACAGCTAGGAGACTATTTTAACATTTTACTCTATTTTATTTCAAGTTTTATAATTACTAAATAATGTTATATTATTATCTTAAAACAATTTATGGTATAATAGTATTTACATAGTTGTAAAATAGTCCTTTACACAAACTCTAAGGTATAAAAAAATAATATTTTAGATGGTGCGCATGTAAAATAATCCACCTAAAAATTCCTCCTTTTGGGCATCATTGAAATGATTGAATGGGCATCTTCCAACATGGTCAAGATTGTAGTATGGCACATGCTTTTCTTCAATATTAGGCATCCATTAAATAAATTATTGGCAGAATGGACCCCATTAAGGCTAGAAGTCTTAAAAGAAAAGCAAAAGTCTTAAATGAGAGGAATTTATTAAGAAATTATGCAGGAACAAACAAGATTACGGATATTGCATGGACAAATAGATCAAACAAATAAATCTAAGTTATTTCAAATGCATTCTCCTAAAATTATTTTTGACATGTAAAGTAGATGCATAATTAAATGATGTTTAATAAGTTACTTGTACTGAATAAATATTTACTCTTTTAAATTAGAGCACGAAAATATTTGCATTTGAAAATACATTAAAGTTACTCAAATAATCCCATGGTAATCCAAGCTAATGCTGATTTAATATTTAAAAAAACATAATTTTAAATTGAACAAATAATTAGAGAAAGCGACATCTGAAGAAACAAAAAAACTGAACCAGTTGCCCTTTGGTGGCTTCAAAGAAAAACACAGGAAAAAAAACCGTACATCAATACTATCATCATATTTATGAGAGTTTGGTGCCACCTTGACGAAAAATTATTGCATACATACAATGCATGCAGAGATGCATGCGGTGTCAGATCCTGACCGTAGATCACGGTAATCTAAGTGAAGCCCACTTTAAATTATATTTTTTTCAAAAAAAAATTTGATTGCATCCTGATAGTAGATCACCGTGATCTACAATCAAAATCTGACATCGTATACATCTCTGCATGCGGTGTATATATACAATAATTTTTCCACCTTGAAGCTTGCACGCATGTT